TGTTTTATTCTCAAGAATTAGGTAAAAAAACAACATAATCATGCATTTCTTTTCAATCAAGCATTCTTTAAAACATAACTATTTTTAATGGCACTATTTAACAATTATAAAAAGATAAAAACTTTAAAAAGTATATTTAACAATATGTTAAGAGGATCTGCTAGAACAAACATTCTAATTCTTTTAGTGATTTATATATAGTTAGAAGTAAGTGACATAATAGCCTAGGGAGGATTTCACAACTCAAATGCCTAAGGGTTAAAGGCAGGTAACAAAATGAGAGGCAGGGCGAATGTAGGATGAGTTCAGGGACTATGATGAATAGGCAATCCAAGGGCACCCTACTGCCACATGGAAAGCATGAGATTTTGTCAGATTTTCTAATTCTTAAGAGAGGCTCATTTTAAAAAAAAAATTTTTTTTTTAGTTGTAGATGGAGATAATACCCTTATTGTTTATTTTTATGTGGTGCTGAGGATGGAACCATTGTCTGTCTTGTGCTAGGCAAGCACTCTACCCCTGACCTACAGCCCCAGTCCCATGAGAGCTTCATTTTTCATATAAAAACTCTCCATGTTTAAAATATTTGCAACTAATTTCAAATTTATGAACCCTGTTCAGGCCATACAATCCACATTTGTGTAAGTATTCCGGCCGTTGAGCTGTCTAGTGTCCTCTCATTAGATACTTCACCATTCATCCTAATTAAGAATATCCTAGGAAAGCAGAGACCAATACTTTTAAATGAGAGAATATCAACATGGGGTAGGCGAGAAAACCAAGTTTCAGAAAATCTTGGTTTCAGTGTAGGTGCTGCCATTTAGTACTAGCTGAAACATAGTCTTGAGCTTCTGTTCATTTATTTGTAAACTGCAATGTCATTTACTAATTCGCTGAGTTGTAAGTAGCAAATTAGAAAGTAGGTCGGAGCATATTATGAATTACAAAACCTGATATATAAATAAGTGGCTTTAAAACAAAAAAAAAAATCTTAACAAGAGCAACCAAAGAACACTATTCTCTTTGTTGTCAGTTGCCTCAAAATGGGATTATAGATTATGCTCATGGAGTTTCTCAAATACATTAAAATTGTAGAATCCTATTTAAATGTTAGGTGCCATGTAATTACCTAGTAAGGAAGTATTTGCTTAGTATGGCCAACTATACTAATAAAATGTGCAACTCTTTAGAGATTATTATGTACAACTTCATTTAAGAGTTGTGCACATTACTTGATTTCCTAAGGCAATGAGCAATTTCATGTAGTTAGTTTGGAAAAAGTTTATCTCAGGTCCTCATTACTTTTTTAAAAAAGATGTTGATAATACAGTTCTGTAACAGACCAGATTAAAATAAATAAATAAATAAATAAACAAACTTAAAATATTTGTTTATTTTTTAGTTGTAGATGTAAATCTTTATTTAATTTATTTATTCATTTTTATGTGGTGCTGAGGATCAAACCCAGGGCCTCCCATGTGCTAGACGAGCACTCTATAGCTGAGTCACTACCCCAGCCCTTTAACATGTATTTTTTAGTTGTTGATAGACTTTTATTTTATTTACTTATTCGTGTTTCTGAGAATCAAACCCAGTGCCTCACACATGCCCAGCCAGTGCACTACTGCTGAGCCCCAGCCACAGACCAGATTTATTTGCTCTCCTCTTGCTAAAGTTTCTGGAGGTACTGCTCCTATCAGTGGATAATGCAGCAATAGGGAAGGGACAGTGGTCAGGTCCAGGAGGTAACTTGGAGAAAAGAGAAAGTAGTTCTCTTAGCTATTAGGGCGAACAGTTCTTCCATTTACCTACTTTTATGTAAAAATGTTGAGAGGAAATATTACATTTCTTCATTACTGTTTATCCTGGACCATCAAAACATAGAGATTCAAAGTCAAAGTTTTAAAATTTATGAGGAACTATACTGGATAAAAACTCCCTAGTGGGCTGGGGTTGTGGCTCAGTGGTAGAGCACTTACTTGCCTAGCATGTGTGAGGCACTGGATTTGATCCTCAGCACCACATAAAAAGATAAATAAATAAAATAAAGGTATTGGTCCATCTACAACTAAAAAATAAAAAAAAACCTCCCTAGCATATATTGTATTCTATGAAGATTCTTCATTTTTGGCTTTCCTCAAATCACTGTTGATCTGGCATATTCAACAAATCAGGTGGGTCTCTTCATCAGCCTATTTCTTGCAGACTACTATGGGGATGAACTGAATGATGGAAGATTTAAATCTCCAAATTAAATTTTTGCATTTGTAAGCACATTTGTAATAGGAGAATGTAATTTACCAAATTAGGTTGTACACACATATGAATATGTAACTACAAATCCCACTAATATGTACAAATAAAAAAATTAGAAAGAAAAGTGCATTCCCAGGCTGGGAGTATAGCTCAGGAGAAGAATCTTGCCTAGCATGCATGTAGTCCTGGATTCTATCCCCAGCACTGAGAGAAAACAAAATAAAACAAAACCCAGCAACCTGTCCCCCAAAACATTAACAAAGCACATTTCTGGTGAAAATATATATAAGTAATGCTTTTTTCCACTTCTTTTTCCAAACTCTTTGAATAAAACTTTTTGACTTACTATAATTTTCAAAACTGTATGTTAGAATAAAACTGCCCTGACATAAAAATAATTTTTCCCCTAATAACTTAAGAAAATAATTGATAGTCACATTTGTTTAGGAATGCCATTATGGGACCACTTAGCATCTTTGAAGGAAATCCTGTGGAAGTCCATCTCACTACTGGGATTTAAATATATCCAAATTTCAAAAATGTTAGTTTGAACCACTAAAAAAGATTATTTTCTTTTTTTAAAGAATGGTAGAGCAAAAGATTATAAAGGGAAAATACACACTTGAAAATAGGAGTGCGGGCAATCAGAGTTGCAAAGATGATTCTTTAATCTTTACTAAAAAGGTAAATTAACTAGAGATAAAATCCAAAGTTAAATTATTCCCCTTTAAAACGAAAGTTGGAAAGTAATAGTGAGTTTCTAGGAAGCTGATATCTTTTAAATTTCCTTATAAATAATATGAAAATAGAGTAACTGTATAGCATAGTGGTTTAAGAGATGGGCTCTGAAGTCAGATTATCTGGGTTCAAATTTGATCTTCAACTATTTATTGGATCTGTGAACTCAGGCAGGTAACTTGATCTCTGTAAACCTCAGTTTTCTCATTCTATAACTGAATATTAACTTTAAGGTTAAAATGATTAAATGAGATGATTCATAATTTTCTCTTACATTATATAAATTCAACATGTAACAAAAATGCAGTGAAAACAGCTAACAAGGGGCTGGGGTTGTGGCTCAGTGGTGGAGTGCTCATCTAGCACATGTGAGGCCCTGGGTTCGATCCTAGTACTACATATAAATAAATAAATAAATAAATTAAAGGTATTGTGTTCACTACAACTAAAAAATATTAAAAGAAAAAAAAACAGCTAACAATAACAGCCACAAAATAGGTACGCCATAGCCCCATTATATACAGAAATGACTGTCCACCTTGGGAATGATTTTGAAATGAGGGATATCTTTGTTACCTAATTCTATGTTATAACTTTTTAAAAATATATACTATTAACATTGCTTTTCTATTCAGCAACATTTTCTACTACCTAGGCATGGCTGTTTTAACTACAGTAGATAAAACAGATCTCTAGGAAGATAACTGAAATTGTATGATAATTGTGATGATGTGGAATTGCTTTTAAAAATTCTATTTAGGAAAGAATAATTATTACACAAAAAATTTCCTTAACAATTATAAAATTTCCCAATAGGTATAATGCCAATTTATAATGCTATAAATGTCTGCACGAGTCTATTTATAGATATAAATCCTACATATTAAACAAACACAGATTTGCAGTGTTGGGGATCATCAAACTCATAGTCTCATGTATGCTAGGCAAGATCTCTACCACTGAACAATATTTGGGAATATAGCTCAGAGGTAGGTAGAGTGCTTCTGGGTTCAATTCCCAGTACAACAACAAAACAAAACATTAAAAAAAAACTCTTAAAGATAAACTTAGATACAAAAATATTAAAAATATATTTACCTATTTGTATACTGCCACCCTGGTTATTATTTTTGTTTTGTTTTTGTGGTACCCAGGGGCTTGTACATGCTTTGTAAGAACTTTACAACTGAGTTACATCATCAGCCCTGTATTCTTAATTTGAACATTAAACAATCATTACTAGGAAAATATCTACATTAAGTACGTTCCACATGATAAACATTTGGTAGACTAATAATTAAGACTTTGTTTTGGCAACAGTAGGGATGGTACTCGGGGGCACTCTACCACTGAGCTACATTCTCAGCCCTTTTTATTTTTTGAGATAGGCTATTACTAAGCTAAATTGTTGAAGCTCGCATCAAACTTGAGATCCTCTTGCCTCAATCTCCTAAACTGATGGAATTACAGATGTGCACCACTACTGCCCTGCCTGATTTTCTTATATTAGCAGCCCAGATTAAAAATCATAGTAGGATCCCTAAAGATAAATGTACTTTTACTTAGTCACGAAAAATTAATTTAGTTTGAAAAAATAACAGTGTCAAATGTAAAATTTGGGGTACTTTAAATTTTCACTTGAATATTTCTCCCCCTTTCTTTGTCAATATTAGGCACTATATAAAATCTGCCTGTTAAAAATGTGACTAATACCCTAATATAAACAGAGTTTTGTAAGATCAAATGAAATTTATTTTAATACCTAGTGCTGAAGAGATAATCATTTGTTAATTTACTCAATTCATTTCTTGGACTTCCCTAGAAATCACCAGAATTAGTATCAAAAGACCCAGGAAATATCACAGATCAACAGGAAGTATCTAATTCATTAATTTCTATACATAGTTTTAAAAGACAGCAAAGCTATACTTCTTTTAATATGTCAGTGCTATATACTAGGGGTGTAACTCCTTATAAAGCAAGCATGAATGTGGCATCAAACTTACTTTTCCAAAGAAGCCTTTGAAGAACTTCCTTTCCTGGAGGAACAGGGGGACAAGTCGATTGCTATTATTGTATGGGCTAAATGTCCTAGGGTTTTACATCAATAAGCACATACAGAAGTCAGGAAAAGGGCAAAGTGGGAGAAAGGAAGGGAGTGAGAGTTTTAAAGAGTTATCCATACCAGGGGTGACAGGGGAAAGGGAAGGGTGCATGAAAATGCAGGAAACACATTGTATGGCCTAAGAATCCACAGAAAGAGAAGATATGAGAATGTGTAGACATGCAGAGCAACTAGTTAATTTAGTAATCTCTATTTACTTTTTAAACAGAGATTATCCAAATTTGGCAGCAGAGAAAAAGATCAGGACATACTGGTTTGGTATGATTTTTGCATTTTAAATTCGTAACAGTGAGTAATAAATAGAAGATTGGTTCCAAATACATTTTTCAATTTAAAATCAGTGGCAGCCAGGTGCAGTGAAGCATATGCCTGTAGTACCAGCTACTTGGGAGACGGAGGCAGGAGGATCACTTGAGCTCAGTAGTTCAGGACTAGCTTGGAAAATAGAGTAAGACCCTATTTCTTTCTTTTTTTTTTTTAAGTAAAGTTTTTAGTTATAGATAGACACAATACCTTTCTTTATTTTTATATGGTATTGAGGACTGAATCCAGTGTCTTACACGTGCTAGACAAGTGCTCTACTACTGAGCTACAACTCCAGCCCCAGACCCCATTTCTTTTTCTTTTCTTAAAAATATTTTTAGTTATACATGAACACAATATCTTTATTTTGTTTATTTATTTCTATGTGGTGCTGAGGGTCGAACCCAGTGCTTCACATGTGAGAGGCAAGCTCTCTGTCACTGAGCCACAACCCCAGTCCCCAAGACCCCATTTATTGAAATAAAATAAGTGGTTAACTATGGTCAATTATGTGGAAATAATCAATTAAAAATGAAACCACATAATCACATATAAAAAGTACAACAGGGCTGGGAATGCAATTGTAGTGGGCCAACTATATTCTTTGCTGAGCTGAATATATGTATGTGGAATATACTGAACAGTGTATGGAAGGAAAGAGGGCCCATGCCTGCCTGACCCTGGGGCTACACATATATACATAAGAGATTAAAAAAAGCACTGTAGGGGTTGGGGAGGTAACTCAATATAAAGAACTTGCCTCGCAAGTGGTGAGCCCCTGGGTTTGATCCTCAGCACGGAAGGGAAAAAAACAAAGCAAAACATAAAGCACGAGTATGCATCAATGATCCTTGTCACACTTTTTCTTACTGAGTTTAAGAAGTCACCTAGAGAAGCCTCCAATCTACTTAAGGGACTCTTAATCACTGGCTTTCGTTTACTTATGTACTAGTATCAATCTCTATGTGTGTATTGATCAATTCCATAACACACATGGGGAAATAACAGATGTATTTGTTCCAGATTTTTTAAAAAATCACCTATAAAGAACACAGGCTAATGTCTGACCTGGAGCTGAGAAAACATATCTAAGAACCTATCCATGTCCGTGGGCCACAAACAAAATTTAAGGAAGCATTTTGCTTCCTTCTAAATGCTGTTGTTTTGAAATAAACTTTTATTGGCATTTGTAAGTATGAAACTATCTGGATAAGAGAGGCATAGCTATCTATGGTTCTGTCACCAATTTTTAAGCACCATTTATAAAAACTGGCCATTAATTAAATTCTGAAGAATTTGTGCATTGTATTTGAGTTCTAATTCACCCAATCTGGCTTAATTTTACTGGGACTGAACTATACTTAAAGTCTTTACTTTTTATAATCGTAAATTTTTATTAGTGGATAAACATCTAGGAAAAGACAACTGTTCTCAGATAATTTATGAATTCATTCAATGCTCTCAAAACATTATAAAGGATGTTTTTCTCCTAAGTTTTGAAAGTCAAACAGCATCGAATAGTTCTACAAAATATTTTGAATTTGTGCTGGTAAAATAATATAATAGGACAGTTATCACAATAAGACTATTTCTGCTGCCAAATTTGGTGACTCTAGTTTTGTTAAGACTATGAGTATCCATCAGTATTTAAGGATGCAGCCAAAGTTCAAAGATTCACCATTTTTGAGGAGCGGGAGGTAAGGGAAGGAGATTGTTAATATTTAATTTAGTTCCTAGAAAAGTCTCTTGTTAAGTATGGTGCTTTACATTTCTTATAAAAGACCCCAGATGTTAATGAAGAAAGTTAACGTGCAAAAATGCATAAAAGACAGTTATTAGAGAATATTAATGTTCTTTAAAAATTAAGTTATGATTCTTTTACCTGCTAAAACAAGAACATATATTAAAACAAATATATCAAATAGTGAATAAAAAAACACAACATATTAGAAACTGGTAGTATAAAGAAACTAGTCTAAAACCAAGACAGACAGGGAGAAACATTTAAGAGTCAATGGGAAGAAATGACCTTTTAAAATGAAGGGCATATTAAACTAGAGTAAAGCAAGATAATAAAAGGCCTGACACAATATTTATATATCTGATTGATAAATGTCAATACTCCTCACCCTGTGACCATAAAAGCCACAAAAATGGGCAACAACCATTTCTTTCATTTATCCTGTATAACCTAAGTTCTATAGTAACTAATTAGTGAAATTACATCACAAAGTAAATGAGTTGAAAATAACTAACTTTATGCATAGAAAGTATAATATATTTTAGACATATATATTTTCTGAGAAGCATATTTAAAAACTATTTTGTTTAATGATGGAATTTTTTTCATTTAAGAATATCAAATACACAGATGACTTCCCACTGAAGTTGAAATAATTCAAAATTGTAAGGGACTACTTTGGGGAAAAACCCACACATATAACTACAGTTGCAAATTATCTTCTCCTTCAATTCTCCCCAAGTTAAAAAAAAATTAAAAATGTTAAGTTTTTAGTTTAAAGATCAATCACATGATAGGTTTGTTTGTTTTGCTACTTAAGTGTTATATGTGAGCTATATAATTCTTTAAATTCTAAAACTTTGATATTCAAATTAATTCCAAAGACATTTTATTTCCATTTATTTGAAATTAAGAGGAACCTTTATGATTTATTTTTTTAAAAAAGTGAGCAAAAAAACTCTAGAGACATAGCATTCAGCACAATATAAGCATCTGGCAAAGCAGGTTGTAGGTTCCCAGTGGATGTTTGTTAGAAGAATGTGTGTTCCTGGGAGAAAAGGGCACCTAGATACTGCTAGGTAGTAAACAAAAATCATAAAATATATGTACACTAGTATGATCTGAGAAGAACATATTGAAGGTCTCTGATCTTCTGCAAGATTCTTAGTATAGTACTAGAAAGAATACTCATAGGAAGGGGAAGTATCATTGAGCATAATAAACAGGAGGTATACCTCGGTTTTCCAAAAATTTCAATCTCCTTTTAAAAAATAACAAGTTTGCCAATTCAGAACTATATATAATTGCTTCAAATCTCCTGGATAGGGTTTGCCTAGCAATTCGGGTTTTTTTTTTTTTTGATATTGTGTATTGAATTCAGGGCACTCAACCACTGAGCCACATTCCTAGCCCTATTTTGTATTTTTATTTAGAGACAGAGTCTCACTGAGTTGCTTAGTGCCTCACTGTTGCTGAGGCTGGCTTTAAATTTTTGATCTTCCTGACTCAGCCTCCTGAACCACTGATTATAGGTGTGCACTACCCTGCTCGGCACCTACTAATTTTAAAAATAATTTTTAATTTTATTTTATGTTTTTTTTGCAGTGTTGGGGATGGAAAACCCAGGGCCTTGAGCATGCTAGGCAAGCACCCTACCATAAGTTTCATCCCCAGCCCTAAAATAACTTTTTGATGAAAAGTTGTGGTCAATTTTCCCTTGAAGTTCAAAAGTTTAAGTACTCCCAGAAGAGCCATCATCAATATATATAAAACTTCCTTTCAGTCAGGAAACACCACAGGAAAATAAGGATTTAGAGATATGCAAAATTATATTTTAACTTTAAACTTTAAAATATTAAACATAAAATGAGATTATAATAATTACTAGAAGATTCAATTTTACCATATATTGATGATTGGATTGTTTTATGTATATTCATTCCAGAAATATTTTTTTAGTAGCTACTATGTGTCAGAAATTGTTCTAGACATATGTATAATTCTTAAAATGGCAATTTAGTTCCCATTTCTGGTGACTATAAACTCATTAAATTGAATCTAAATAAACCAATGCCTCAAATAAACATGCATGCAGTTGATAATCTTCTTGGTTTAAAAAAATAAAAAGGTAACAAAAAAATCCACTCAACTAAAAATATAGTTTTAGTCTGGTGCAATGGCACAAGCCTGTGATCCCACAAACCTGTAATCCCACAAACCTGTAATCCCACCCAGCAATTTGAGAGGGTAAAGTAGGAGGATCTGCAAGTTTGAGGCCTGTCCAGGTTACTCAGTGAGACCCTGTCTCAAAAAATAAAATAAAAATGGTTGGGAATGTATTTCAGTGGTACAGTGCCCCCCAGGTTCAGTCCTCAATACTTAAAAAAAAAAAAAAAAAAGCTTAAAACTGGATGGTTAAATACTGGCTATCTCTGGAATTAACAAATTTTTTACTTATGCATTTTTAGGTTCATTTGTATTTTGTATAATAAACATATATTGCCTATATGTACAGAGATGTTTCTAATTAAAAGAAGTTAAAACAAAAACTAAACAGTGATTGGAGTATAGCTTAGTGGTAGATCCCTTGCTTGGCATGTGCAAGGCCCTGGGTTTGATCCCAAATACCACAAAAATGAAAAAGAACACCCCAAAGCACCCATAAAACTAGACAGCTAAGAGGAATGACTGCTCATTAACAACTTAATATCTTCTGGACAAACTTAAATCATCTTTAGTGTTTTATTAGATAATGAACATGAAGTCATAATCTGAATTAAAAGATTTTCTAAAGGCTCATTTCACAGTGGCTTTTTAACCCTAAGTTATGTAAGTTATAAGATTTTAATACCTATTTGTTGTTTGACTCAGGTCTACTTGGTTTATTGGTTTACTGTTTTTAGTCATTAGTAATACAATGTTACATTATTTAAGAAATGTAAGTATTTGTATTATTTTTTAAAATGTTCTTACCTAAATTCATCAACTAAGAATTATTTTGTAAACAAGAAAATTGAATTTTCATTTCTCTTTTATATAGGTTTTGGTGAAAATGGAAAATTAAATTGTCTGAATCTATATTTAATTGGGGAATATATTCAAATCACACAGCAAATCTATAGTTTCATGTATCATAACACATAAATCCTTTTAACATTAATGATGAATTAGAGAGGATAAATTAGGAATGGCTTCAATCATTTAAGAATGTAAATGACCAGAATCTGAGGTAAAGATATGTACATTTGTGGAGAGATATATATGTATACTTGTGTCTACAGAGTTATTATTGTTTAGTTCTTTGTATAGTAACTACAATCAGATATTTTTTTCCTTTTTTCCTTTTACAACAAATTCATACATTTATTCCAAAATAAAATCTACCTCTGAGATGTTTTTTAATTTTATATATTTCTATATATTTCATAGAGAAATTATAGATAAAGAGGAAATATAGATTATATCAACAAGCAGAGAAGTTTCAGTTATTAAGCAAATTGAGAAAAAAAAAAAAAGCAGTCATTATCAGCCAAACTTGAGACAGCGTACCATATCAGCAAACCCAAAGCAACATGTATTTAATGCTGTTTGGGGAAAAAGGCATGCAGAAGTAACACTTAAAAGCTTTCACATCAAGTGGGAAAAGGCCACATATTGGAAAGAAGGAAGGGTGTGAAGAGGGCTTTCAGAATCTATGGAATGTTCCTTAAACCTCAAAAATATGAACAATTTAATCTGAACCTTTATGAACCATGAACCAATTCTCTCCTTTTACTAAATCCGCAAGCATGTGCCTGGGATGTATTCTATAGCATTAATAGGCAAAGGAAACATTTATCCTGGAAAGGGGTCTCTCCATTCCAAGTGTGCTAAAGTTTATGCAAAAGGCAGTAGAAAAGATTTTGTTAGAGGAATGTAGATAAGAAAGCTGGGAAGTAGGACTGAGGACAAGAAGAAGAAATCCCAGAAGTAAACCTTGTGAGGCATCAACACAGATATTTCTATTTTCTACTTTCTGTTGGAAAGCTGTTTGTCATAGTAGATTTAAAATAAATATATTTCCCAATTATCACAGGTTGAGATGTTAACTTTAACCATTTTTATTCTGCTTTTAGAGTATTATTCTTCTATCAGATTTTACATCACTTGTTTCATATGGATTATAATAAATCAAAAGTACATTTGGGGTGAAGTTTGGCCTAAATTGAAGAGGTTGGTCTTTATAATTTATACCTCTGGAGGGACAGCATGAGATGTTGTTCTCTTTTAGTATGCCCACATCTTTTGCATCAAAAGAAACATTGTTTTTACTGGATATTGAGTCACTAACATCTACTGAGCACAATATTTTAAGAAAATATTGACATATAGATCAAAATATATAGATCAATACTAGCAACCATCAAATACATACAGCTTTCAATCTTTTTACAGCATCTTCACAAATGTGCATTCCTCTTGACTCATCAACTTCTACATGGCCAAGGTACTGTAAAAAGAAGAAAAAATGTTCACATTATTGCTATGTTGTTATAGGAGAGTAAGTGAAAAAGCATATGGTGGAGTTGTTATAGGAGAGTAAGTGAAAAAGCATATGGTGGAGCTGGGGTAGAGCTCAGTGGGTAGCTCAGTGGTAGAGTTCTTGCCTAGTACATGTGAGGCACTGGGTTCAATCCTCAGCACCACATATAAATAAATAAAAATAAGGTATGTCAACAACTAGAAAATATTAAAAAAATTATTTAAAAAATAAAGAAAGGTATTGTGTCCATCTACAACTAAAAAAACAGTATATGACAGGCATCAAATGTTACCTGAATCCATTGATCCTAAAGCATAATAGCTGGTGTGAGATAGTTATATCTTTATACATAAAAATTATTCCAAGACAAAGATATATATATATATGAAAAAATACAAACAAACCAACAATATTTCAAAGGACAAAGAGATCACACAACTTTTGTTATGGAAAATGCATAAAAGCAAGGAGGATAATTCAAGTTTTAAGAAGGTGGTATACCGGGGCTGGGATCGTGGCTCAGTGGTAGAGTGCTTGCCTGGCATGTGTGAGGCCCTGGGTTCGAATCTCAGCACGGCGTATAAATAAAATAAAGGCCCATCAACAACTAAAAAATATTAAAAAAAAAAAGAAGGTGGTATACCTAAGCTTAAAAGACATGTAAAATTTGATAAGGAAGAAATTGGAAGGCTGAGAAACGATTTTAGAATGAAAAGAAATACATAAACAAAATTACACATATGTAATAGGCCATTATATATAAGCAAGTATTCCTATTGGCTGGAATATGAGATACATTTAGTTGGGGAATTTGAGTCCTAAAATATGGAGTCTACACTTAAGCCTGGAAGCAATAGAGAGCAAACTTAAAAAAAAAAAATTGGGGGGTAGTATTGGGGATCAAATCCAGAGCCTCGTGCATGCTAGGAAAGTACTCTACTACTGAGTTATATCTGTAGCCCTTTTTATTTATTTTATGTTGAGTCAGGGTTTTGCTCAGTTGCACAGACTGGTCTCAAACTTGTGAACTCCTCCTCCAGCCTCCCAAGTATCTGGGATTGCAGGCATGCACCACTGTACCCAGCATGATTTTTTTTTTTTAATGTAAAGTAGTAATGATTCAGATTATATCTTATTATGGGACTGGTCCTTGGTTAGAAAAGCAGAAGGGATAGTGGCAATATTATAAGTGCTCCCTTTTGAAAGGAAATTCAGGGTTTGGTTCCAGGTCCCTCACATTGGATGAAACCATAAAATCTGGACAGAATACATGGAGCAGCTATTTGAAATTTCTGAAAAGTAAATAATAGCAGATAAATCACAAAATGCCAGAATCCAAGATACTGTTGAACTGGTAAAGCATTTACTTCCCCTTTTGCCTTTGGCACCTCCAGCCTAAACTTAACACAGATATGAATGATAGGGTACAAAAAGAACTCTGAGAAAAGTATTCCAGTTCTGGCTTGAGGACCATGAATGGCAACTCCTATGTTCAGAGAGAGTAAAAGGGTCCCAGGATGTCCAGTGGTGATGGTGGTGGTAGTGTAGCAACAGGAAAACAATGAAAATCTTCAAGGGCCACACCTTCCTTTCTGTTTAGTGGAACTGTATATGATTATAGGAAGATGAGGACAACGCCTTTTTATACACCCCCCCAACTCTTTCTCACTATGAATCTCTCTCAATTTGATCCTAGATTGAAGTGAAATTATGAGAACATGGGATAAAGCAGAATAATCAGAGAACCAAAGTATCAGGTTCTTGGATACATTCAAGGAACAAGAAAATATTGAGGAGAGTACAGGGAGGACAAAGCTTGGAAAACTGATCCCAATTTGTTTATGAATTCCTGGATTTATCCTGGAACTATAAAGTAAGAATCTGCTCCTAATTAGCACACCAGAGACTTTAGAGCTAAACCAATGGATAAACCACCTCATAGTTCCAGAATTGTCAATGGTGATACATACATAGAACATTATAATAAAGGCTTTGAAAAGTAAATCAATACAGGTTAAGCATTATCTAACCCCCAAATCTGAAATCCTCCCAAATCTGGAATTTTTTTGAGTGCAGATATAACACCACAAGTGGTAAAGCCCACACCTGGCCTCAGGTGATGGGTCATACTCAAAATACAAAGTACACTAAAAAAATTGTATAAAGTTACTTTAGGCCATGTGTATGAGGTATAAATGAAACACAAATGAATTCTGTGTTAAGACTTGAGTCCTATCCCCAGGATATCTTATTACAAACATGCAAATATTCTAAAACCTAAAAAAAAAAAAAATGTAAATCTGAAAAACACCTCTAGTCCCAAGCACTCTCAGATAAGGAAAATGCAACCTGTATCAGAACCACAGCCAAGCAGTCCAACAAGTTTGAACTTGCTGCCTGAAACCTAACTAGATTGACTGTCTGCTAAAATAAGAATAAGAATATTCTTGGGACTAGGAGTATAGCTCAATGTTAGAGCACTTTCCTAGCATGCACAAAAGCCTGGATTCCATCTCTATGATGGAACCACACCTTACCACACCAAATCAAACCAAATCAAAAACCTCTATAGGATTTTAATGAAGACCCAAATTCTTACAATGCAATATCCAAAATCAATTGGCATTTGATGTCATGAATTTTTTTTTTATTATTTTTTTTTGGTACCAGGGATTGAACCCAGAGGCATTTGACCAGTGAGCCACATCACATCCCCAGCCCTTTTAAAAAATATTTTATTTAGAGATCGGGTCTTGTTGAGTTGCTTAGGGCCTCGCTAAGTTGTGAAGGAGGCTGGCTCTGAATTTGCAATCCTCCTGCCTCAGCCTCCCTAGCCGCTGGGATCATAGGCATGCACCATTGTGCCTAGATGATGTCATGAAAATTTTAACTTTCTTGGAGAAAAAAAATCCATATCTACAAACTTCAAAATTTACAGTTATTTGAATTATCCGACAAAGACTTTAAAGCAGTTAAAAAATGCAAGAGCTAATAGTCTAGAAACAGAAGAAAAATGGAAAGTCTCAGGAAAGAAAGAGAAAATATAAAAAGAACCAAATGGAAAAATTCAAACTGGTAAGTACAACCACTAAAATGAAAACACACTCAATAGGAGAATGGAGATGACAGAAGAAAGAGTTGAATTTGAAGATAGAAAAAACTGAAACTGAATTTATACCTAGCATCATACTTAATAGTGAGAAATCAGATGCTTTGCCCCCCAGATCTGAAACAAGGCAAGACTGTCCTCTTACCACTCCTATTCAACACCCCTGCATTAAAACTTGAAAAGTAATTTTGTATATTTTGGTTTTTAGCTCCTTCAGAAATAATGTAAAAGACCAAAAGTAGAGAAAGAAGGAAAAGGCATTTCCTGAGCATAGGAAAAAGGAAATAACACTCATCACCTACAAAGTGCCAGTAACTGAGTGCTTTAAACATTCAGTAATTACTCAGAAAGGTATGTATGATCACCTGATTTTAAAACTGAGGAAAGAAAATAAGGTTTAAGAATGCTGAATAATTTCCCAATGCCACATATTTAGCTAGTAAGGGAGAAGAAGGATTTAAAATCTTGATTCCAAAGTTTAAGAGTCTTCCCGCTTGACTTTACCTCAATTCAAGAAAACTTTCTCTAGTTACTCACTCCTATTACAAGCAAACCTAAAAAAAACCAATAATTTTCTTTTGCTATATTTATTTCCTACAACTTTGAAAATAAAAGCTATTTCATCTGAAAAATTTTCCCTCTCATAGGGCTAAAACTGAGTAATAAGCAAGTCTTTCTGAAAATACAGTGAAAACTCTAAAATAATTTCATCATTATTCACTTCAATTTCTCTCAAGTTTCAGAATTTCCACTTTGAAAAGAATTATTAAGATGAGGCTGATTGAGAGGTTTAATGACATTTAAATGGTACTGACCAAGTTCTCATTATTGAGAAAACTTTAAATACAATTGAAATTGATGGATTTTTGTACTACTCAAGTACAACAATTCTTAGAGATCATTCTAGCTCATATATATGACTTGTAGAGGGTACATTATTCATTTTTTTAAGCTACAAGAAAATATATTCTTGAACTGGATTAATTTATTTTCTGCTTTATCCTTATTTCTATAGTTCTGCATTTTATGTACATCCTTAAAAAAACAGATCCTCTTTAAGACTATACTAATTTTCAAATTCTAAATAAGTCAAAATCAAAAATACACAGAAATGAAGTTTAAAATTCCAGTTTAGTGGAAAAATCAGTTGATAGCTTTTATACTGCAAAGCTTAACATTAGAATGTAACAAATTTTCATATATTTCTGCTTTGCTTCTTTTTCATCCCAACTCTCACTACAAATTTGGCTAAAAGAAGCCAGTAATAACTATGCTGTAATCTGAGTGCTCTGCTGCCTTAAAATTTCCTCTACCAGATAAATTAGTCCATTGCCTTTAAACCTGGCCTTCTATAATGTATCAGGTATGGACAAAATTCAGACAAATTCTTTGCCATGGTGTAATATGGATTGCCTCTAGTTCAGTTACCAATTGAGTCCTGGTTTCCATATGAAACTTCATCAGCCTGGACTTTACTGTCTGCATTCCTAACAATATTCTCTGTGTTAATCCCCTACTCTATACACACTTACACACTGGGGATTAAACCCTGGAGAATTCTACCTCTGAGCTACATCCTTAATCCTTTTACTTTTTTTTTTTTTTTGAGGCAGAATCAATTGCTGAGGTTGACCTTGTACTTGTGATCATCCTGCCTTAGCCCCTTAAGTAGTTGGGATTATATGGCATGCACCCCTGTGCTTGGCTTACATTTTGATCTTTTAAGATCTCACCAAAATCACCCATTAAACTCTACCTATAGCATTCTAGTCTTTTTCTAGCCTGTTACTTCAAACTTTTCCAAACTTCTCCTGGAAAGTAATTCCAAAGGCTCTTCCACATCATGAGGTGTACAATA